CGTCTAATTTCATCTTCGCTCGCACATCATCCAAAAACTCATACATTTCGTCACTCATTTCATTAATTTTATCACCAACAACAAACGTAAACACTCTATTCTTCACCCGGATCCAACTGCAACCGGGTATTTTCCTAATCCCTCTGTCTCTCATCAATTTCCTAGCGTACGAGGCTTCTTCCCACAGCTTGGCCCCAACAAGAATGTTAAAGAGCAAAACATAATTACCCGGATTTTCAGGCTCGATCTCGAACAGCCGATTTGCTGCAATTCGACCTAAATCCACGTTCTTGTGCACCCGACACGCCCCAAGCAAAGCCCCCCATGCAGCCGCGCTCGGCTCCATAGGCATCTGCTGAATAAAATCATAAGCCTCCGCCAAACGGCCCCCACGACCAAGAACATCGACCATACAGGAATAGTGCTCCGCATCGGGTTTCACTTTATGATCGTTTTCCATCGAATGAAAAATCGAGAGCCCCTTGTCAACCATTTGCGAGTGGCTACAACCGGATAAAACGCCCGTGAATGTAATAGAATTCGGCTTCACACCCGAGCCCACCATCTCGTTAAAAAGAGATAAAGTCTTCTTTCCCTTTCCGTGCATCGAGTTTGCAATAATAATCGTGTTCCATGCAATTGTATCTTTTACTGTCATCATACGAAAAATGTGGTTCGATATTTCGAGGTCTCCACTCTTGGCGTATATCAAAATTAAAGCCGTACAAACAGTCAAATCCTCTAAAAACCGATGTCTGACAATATAAGCATGAATCTCCTTTCCTCCATTCCAAAGCTCCAAAGAAGTACAAGCAGTTAACAGACTCGTAATCGTGATTTGATTAGGTTTGCAGCCTTGCCACAGCATGTTTTTAAATAAATCTAGCGCCTCTTGCGATTTTCCATTATCGGCACACCCAGAGATCACTGAATTCCATGTAACAGTGTCCGATTGGACTCCTAAATTTCTCATTTCTTGAAATTTATCAAGTGCCCTCACGCAATCACCGTTCGTAAAATAAGCCGATATAATCACGTTCCATGAGAAGACATCAGGACATGACATGTTACGAAACACTAGTTCGGCTTGTTTAATGCTCGAGCAACTAGAATACATATCGACAAGCGCACTATTCACAAATACGTTTTCACTCATCCCGTTCTTGATACCAAAACCGTGAATTTCTCTACCCAAATTCAAAATTTTCATATTTGAGCAGGCGGGGAGTATGGAAGACAACGTCATTGCATTCGGCTTAATTCCACTCAGTCCCATCTCACGAAAAGCCGAAAGGGCCTCTCTTGGAAGCCCACAGTTCACATAACATGCACAAAACGAAGTCCAAGTAACCACGTCTTTTAGCCTTAAATTGCTGAAAACACTCTCTGAACCATGAAAATACCTGCATTTCCCGTACATATCGATCAACGCATTCCCAAGAAGCAAATCCGAACTGAGCCCGTACTTTGAGGCATCGCCATGAACTTCTTTTGCGTTAACCAAATCACCCGAGGCTGCACAAGCCTTAGCGGCCGCTAAAACTGCAAACTTGTCCGGTTCAATCTTTCTGCCTTCTTTAACTTCTCTGTACAGTTTTACAGCTTCTTTGGACCGGCCGGCCTTTGTGTATGCCGAGATCAACAATGTCCACGACTGCACATCTGGTTCAGAAATTTTATCAAACAGTTGGCGGGCACGCGGCAAATCTCCTGAAATCAGGTACCTTTTTATGAAACTGATGTTCAGGTGGGGTGGGAGGTTGATGGGTACCTTGGGAGGCATCTGGCAGTGAGGTTCTAAGACTACTACATAAGCGTTTAGTGAAGGCAATTAATGATGTAATGGAAACAAAGAAGTACAAAGGAATTTCAAGTTTATTAATAATAGAAATAATTAATTATCCTTAGTTTTGCAGCCAAATTTGACAGCTTAACGGTCCCGACGTTTATAAAGCTACGTGCTTTAGACAAGGAAAAAATTGATGGGCCTGTGTTGTGTTGGGCTGTGTTGTAGTTTTATCATCTTTCAGAAGCCTTTTATGTGTTGTAGTTTTATGTTGTGTTGGGCTGTGTTGGGCTCTGTATGGGCGTGTTATGGGATTTTCTATGTTTGTTTTGGGGTTTATTCTCTTTTTAAGAGTCGTCGTATTTTCAACTAATGAGAGTAATGTAATATTGTGTGTGTTTCCCTTTGGTTGTCCTTCCACTAGACGTTGCTTTATTAGGTTGTTATTGGTTGTTTTTTAGATTGTATAAATACACTAGTACAACACCCGTGTATTACACGGGTGCTTGTTAAAAAATTATTCTTAAATTTTAAAATTAATGAGAAAACTATATTAAATTTATTTTATATTTTTTATAAATTAAAATATATTACTATATATTTTAGAATGATATGTGTTACTTATGACATACATGTGTTATATTATATTAGTTATTATAATTTATATTATATAACTACTTGAAATATAAATATATTAGTTGATAAATAATTTTATTTTTCTAATTAATATTAAAAATAATTTTATTATTTTTATAAAGATAAATATAAATTATTTTTTTTATACATACAATATGGATGTTAAATCGAAGCTCATCAAAAGAAGATTAATTTGATATATTACATATGTAAAACTGATAAAAAATACAAAAGTGATTAACTTTTAAATATATATACAATTCAATAGTTATAATAAGGAATGATATTAAAATATAATTAATACATGTAACATGACCATAAATAATCAACATATTTATAGTAATCCAAACCTAATTATTTTTGGTTTGGAATTAAATTAAAATTTACCCAAGCCTAATAATGAAGCATGTAACTTTGCCACATAGGATTCCGAAACACCAGAAGCAGCCACGTAGGCCCAACGCGTTCTGTATTAATATATACGGGTTGGTTTGGAATTAAATTAAAATTTACCCAAGCCTAATAACGAAGCATGTAACTTTGCCACATAGGATTACGAACCACCAGAAGCAGCCACGTAGGCTCAACGTGTATTAATATATAAGGGAATGTTTATTTATGAAAGTTTATCGTTACGAGAAGATAAAAAATAAACTTTAAATGAAGTTCAAACTCTAACTCTAGTTGTTTAATTGTATTTCTAAATTATTGTAAAAAAAATTTGGATTTTTATGGAAACGATAATAGCAAGTGTAACCATTAGATAATATTGTTTTTAACATTTAAAATTAGTATAAATAAAATTATGATATTTTGCATTTTTATTCTCATATAAATAAATAATTTTCTGTTTAGAAAAAAAAAAAAAAAAAATTGCCAGTTTTGATTTTGTTTTCCTATATGTGTACAAGTTATTTAGGTGACAAACTTCATTGCGCTTCGCTTCATTCGTTGGGTCGATGTAATTGAGAGGAAAAGAATCCACTTCTGAGGATCGATGAAATTGACTGACGAGTGACGACTGAGACATCTGTTGCTAATTGGAATAGCCAAGTCTAGCAGTTATGCTCGTGTTCTAGGGTTTTGAATTTGTAGCCTATGCGAAGCAAGCCCACACTGGCTCTCAATGAGTTTATGGGAGGAGAGCAAAGTGAGACTAACAAAACGAAATGAAGCGAAGCGAAGTGAAGTCATAAACGAAGAAAAGAATCAATACGAATAATCGTAGTTTTAGACGATGCATACATAGAAAGCCCTTTTTTTCACTTCTATAGCGAAGATAGTCGCACGTAATGACAGATCACGGCCAGCTAATAGGAATTACTGCATAACTTAGTAAAATGGATATGACGCTATTTGACTTTGAGTTTATGAGTGGATATGAGTTAAAATATATGATTAAAGTTAATGTAATAACAAAATAGTAAAATATAATTGTAAGTGAAAAAAAAAAATTAGTTGATGAATACTAAATTTTGTTGAAAAATAGGTAGTAAAGACTGATTGATATTATTTTATTATATGATAATATTGAATTGAGCTAAGTTATTTTAATCTAAAATTTGTATTTACGCGTAGTTCCGTCCAAATCAACGACTCTCAAAAAAACAAAATATTCTACTCGTTCCTTTGGCATTAGCAAGCAACACAAAATACCAATTGAGTAGACTTTCTAACGGGTAATAGATTGATTTGTCACATTTTTTTATACATAAAAATATGCATATATATATATATATAT